ACAGCAAGATGAGGGGTATTAGGGTACAGCAGGGAGGGTCACCTAAAAGCCAGGACAGTGCTGGGAAGGTGGCTCGACGGGTCGGTACAACATTCACCTTGCAAACACAAGGACCTGACCTGATGCCCAACTTTCCCTTAAAAACAAGTGTGGGGCCAGAAAGCCGGCACAGGAAGCAAAATGTGCAATTTAGAGGACCAGAGTTCAGGTCCTCAGTGTCCCTGTAAAGCTGTGTGGGTGTGGCAGTCTGCCGTAATAACAGGGCTCTAAAAGCTGAGAAGTGGGAAGCCTGGGACAAGCTGGGTAGTTAGCTGTGTCTGTGAGCTCCGGGCTCCGCTGAGCAACCCTGACTCAATCAGGTGGGGTGTGAGCGTGGAAGACTCTTGGGCCTCCACACGCAAATGCAGGAGCACACGTGCTTTTAGACTTCCATAAGTGTTTGCAGTGGCACACATACGTACACCTCCGTTATACACATGGACATTTATAACCATAACAGACACACACAGAAAGAGAGCTGGGCAAGATGGTATGTATGTGTCACCTCAGTATGGGGGAGGACACAGGTAGATTCCTGGGGTTTACTGGCCAGAGAGTTGAGCCTACTTGGCAGGTTCTAAGCCAGTGAGAGCTCTTGTCTCAAAAACCAAGGAGGGGTTGGTAGGATGTCTCAGTGGGTAGAGACGCTTGCTTACCAAGTCCAGCAACCTGAGTTCGATATCAGGGAGCCACATGGTGTAAAGAGAGAACTGATTTCTGAAAGTTGTTCTATGACCTCCATGTACCATGACATGAGTGTGTACACACACAGACACACACGCACACATGCATGCACACATGCACACACACACACATACACACACACACACGAGCACACATGCACACACACCAGCACGAACATGCACGGACACACACACACATACACACACACATGCACACACGCACACACACACACACACAAGCACACATGCACACACACCAGCACGAACATGCACGGACACACACACACATACACACACATGCACACATGCACACACACACATGCACACACGTACTCGCAGTCATACACATGCACACACACACAGACACACACACATGCATACACACACATGCAGACACACACACATGCACACACACATTCACACACACATGTAAGCACTTGCACACACTCGCACATACACATGCACACGCACACACACATGCAGACACACACACACATGCACACATGCACACATCATGAATGAGGCCCACAAAGTTTGTTTTCATATGAATCTCAAGGGCTAAGCTGGATCGGAGTCAGGATGGCAATCTGTCTGGGCTGATTGTCACGTCTGTCTGAGTGTAGATGTCCCTCTGTCTGTCTGGGATCCTGAGGTTCCTATGTTAAACACAGGATGTTCAAACCATCACTTTAAAGGCCACCTTCCAGGAATAATTACAGAAGGTGTAAGAGGGAGGCCCAGGCTGGTGACCCTGGGCTGGGGTAGGCACCATGCAGGCTGAAGCATCGCACCCCCCCAAATGGGGACAGCCAACCCCTGAGTCAAACAACAGACACTGGACTGGGAAGGGCTGGTGTTAGGTGGGGGTGTGAGTCAGGAAGAGAGAGCAGAAGGTGGAGAGCTGGGGACATTCTGAAGGTTTTAGGGCCTTTCTGGATTTGACCCTTTCTGTGGGAATAAAAGTTTGTTTGGTTTATTCACCGCCAAGTTCCCTAGCACCTACAACTGGGATTTCGGCTCCTGTGGTTTGGGACTGGAACGCAGGCTCCCTGCGATGAATGTGTTTGGTCCCCACCTCTGCTGCCATCTTAGGACATGCTGGAAATTTTAGGATGGGGGGGGTTGGTAGCAGAAAGTTGGTCAGCAGGGCATCCTGTCTTGGGTTACACTGGTCCCTGTACACCCATGTCTATTACTGGGCTATCCTCAGACTTACACACACACACACACACACACACACACACACACACACTCCCCCACATGTAGGTGTGACAGGGATGGACTGTCCTAGTGGGGGTTCACTGAACTTGTGCCAACACGAAATGGCGATGCAGTGCAAGGCCTTGTCCTTCACCGTGGAGAGAGGGAATGCTTGGGAAGAGTTGGAGTCTGCCAGGTGGGGGCAGGAAGAAGGGTATGATGTGCATGCCCCCCCCATAACCGCTCTGATTGTAACTATCAGCTATGGCTGTGCTTTGGAATGTTACAGACCCCAGAGCCTGAGCTACACTCCCGTCTTTGACTCCCTGAGTCTGAATGACAGAAGGTAGCCCAGCAGATCATAAGCCACTGACCTAGGAGGAGAGCAAAGAAAGGTATGGCAGGTCCCTAAGTGTCACTTTAGAGCCGGGCAGTGGTGGCGCACGCCTTTAATCCCAGCACTTGGGAGGAAGAGGCAGGCAGATTTCTGAGTTTGAGGCCAGCCTGGTCTACAGAGTGAGTTCCAGAACAGTCAGGGCTACACAGAGAAACCCTGTCTCAAAAAACAAAAAACCAAA